ATTGTGGTAGTATGATCCGGCAGACTTTCTGCTAGTTGCCTCAATAACTCCTAAAAAGGGGGGGTATACCCTGCGAAGTATCGAGTCCGCTTCCGCGGCACGCAAACTGGATGATGTTTTGTAACCAGTAGCCACTCTGGCAAATATGCTGCGACACCCCAGATCAGCCCCTACCAATAACTGGTTAAAGTAACTCTCGGCAAACTCAACACTGAAGAGAGATATTTCTATTACTCAATGCGGACAGTTGAGTAAGAGGCTGTACTTCATAGAGCTTTCAACAGCCAAATCGAACAGAGTACTCAAGAATTAAGAGCCTGAATGCAGTTATTCCCTTTTGCTGCGTAAACCCGCCAGGCCGCTGGTCACTTCCTCTCTCCATCCTGCCTGCTAGCCGAGAGTGTTGATGGGAGAAGACGGGGCATGAGAATATTGAGATGATGGTGATGAAGGATAACACAATTTTCAAAACTTTCCTCAGCAGCTCGCATTAATGCCGTTGCATCTGCGGCCAGTGACCAGTGTTGACATGGCAGCATACAACTCAGTGAGGCATTGTCAGTCGCCCCTTACTGGCAATTGCTCTTTGTCTGATATCCAGGCTGCATAACAAGTCGATATCGTTCAATCGGTACTCTTGAATTTGAGCTGTGGCACCTATGCTCCTGAAAAAGGCAATGCGGTTGAGGCCGCTCGTTCTCTTGGCAGGATCTAAGAGTACTTCCACGTAGCAGATTGGCATTCGTGATCCAAAAGCTGTGGTCTAGCCTCCTGCACTGTTTAGCGGCCGTCGTTACTCAGCCGGTGAACAGCGCTGTTAACTCAGCAAAAAGGCCCCCCTCTTTTTTTTTTTTTTGCTGCGATTAACCTTGAAATTCTGTAGAGTTTGCTGGCATGCCATTCCATGTTCTTGGCGCCTTGTCAGACCCTAAGTAATGGGACTGAGAGAGGCCATGAAAGAGGAGATCTTAGTGATTAAATGCGAGGTTACTAAAGAGAAGCATGAAGGCTGGGAAGCCGAGGCTATCCGGAGTATGGAGCTTCAAAAAACAGTCTTGAGCGATAAAGCAACCCAGAAAATAAAAGAAGAGAAATACATTTGAGTACGTGTTCTATTTTCGTGACCAGAATGGCAAGTTGCACAGCACAGGCTCCTCGCTAGAGACCATCGGACAAGCAAGGGCAAGGCTTGGGTAAACACAGAGGTGTCCAGACTTTTTCTTGAGATCCCCACCAGCGTCTAAGTCAGCAAGTGCCCCCCCTTCAATCTGCAGTTTTTTCAGCGTTTTGATGCCAAGTGATCAGAACCCGGTAATTCGTTAATCAACCAGCATTTGAGCAGCACTCAACCAGTATTCAATCAACATTTATTCATCTGAGTTACTCGAAACTTCCAGTCAGAATCAATCAGCAATCAGTCATCCCTCTCTGCCTCATCAAATATCAGCTAGGTGTTACTCTCATAAAAGGGTGGAGAGATCAGTTTTAACGACCAGCATCAGCCCATGAGTGCATTCCAGTCTTCTCCTGTTAGTGAATCAGTCTTGGCCAGTCTCAACATCGTAGCCCTCAAAGATGCAGTCCAGTATCGGTACGTCAGTGCCGTTGGCTTCAGATAAGGAAACCTATCCATTTTTGTTGTTCTCACCAGTTTTGCAGCAGGCACCATCCTCGACCTGAGACTCTACATGAAGAAAGGCAAGGAGACTCATGAGTACTTCGATTCAGTTTGGGTTGCTGCAGCCAGGTACCTAGACGAGAAAGAGAAAGAGTAAGGCTGATTCACAGCTTTGGACCAAAGCTCTACACAGACTATCCCAAGCCTCCAGTTCCCTTCCTCCTCATAGACGGTTCTTGTTGGGGAGACTTGGTAGAACTAGCCAAGAGGTACATTTCCCCTACGGTGATTGATTACGAGGCATTGACAGAACCCTCGGAGTTCCGACATCTCAGACGGGGGATTTTCCATCAGCCATACCTTCCCACTCTATGAGAAGAGTTTTGTGCTATGGTGGACTTCCATATCATGGAGCTTGGATGGAGATGCTCAGCACTAGCAAGCTTCAGATGGCTCTACATCGAGAGACCACAACCTCAGAGCGTACAGAGGCTTGGCCGGAAGCACAAGAGACATACAGCAAAATGAGAGATTGAGCGTGTGGTTCAGAGGGACGAGTGAGGACTTTTGACTAGTGCTGGCCATGCTCTCCTCATGTGTACTCACTGAGATTATTACGAGTTCTCATTCTTCCCTCACTTGTCCTTATCATCACCGGAGTCAGTCTGTCTTGCTTATTTTGCATTATTTCTGTTTGATGATTGCGTTCCCAGATGATCTCGTCACAGTTCTCAAAAATTATAAAATTGGCAAATTAATTCATGCATGACATACCAGAAAGTTATGATTAATATTTGCATGATTGTTTGCTATTCCGAATCAAAATGAAAGATTCCTAAGACCAAGGACCGGCTAAGACCGCAATTGAAGGGTCTCGCTCGAAGCCTGTTGGCACACAACAGGAAGGGATTTGCTTTACTTAATTTATTTTATTTATTGCAAAAATCATCCAAAACCCTGCGTGACAGCCTATGCGACAGCCTGTTGGCTTTCTGGTCGCCCGAAGTGGCCTGACTGGGAAAAAGTGCAACAGCGCGCGCATGCTTTTTTTTTATTATAAATAAAACAGTATCGATGGACCACGGATCAGATACAACGCTTGATCGTGTTGGTGGGAGGATAGGATATGAAACAGACTGAAGCATATACTACACTTGATCGCGTGGGGGGAAGGAGGGGGGAGGCGCATAGTTAGTGGGGTTGGGTTCTCTCTCTCTCTCTCTCTCTCTCTCTCTTTCTCTCTCTCTGTGTGTGTGTGTGTGTGTGTGTGTGTGTGTGTGTGTGTGTGTGTGTGTGTGTGTGTGTGTGTGTGTGTGTGTCACACACACACACACACACACACACACACACACACATGCTCGTAGTTTCAAGTGAACAAAGAAACGAAAGCAACAAACATCAATAACGAAGTGGAGTTAACTCACCGTCAGTTAGCGTCCAACCTTCAGGATGCGAAAAAGCGTAATGTGTGTTCAGTCTGGGTGTGTTTGTCTCTCTCTCTCTCTCTCTCTCTCTCTCTCTCTCTCTCTCTCTCTCTCTCTCTCTCTCTCTCTCTCTCTCTCTTGTGACTGCATGCGTGGGCATGACCAAGCGAGGCTGTTTCGTCAGACTTCCACCAACTCGTCAGGAGTTTGAACCCCGACAGTCTGCCCGGACGTCGTGTATGTTTGTGTATCCACATGCCAAGTCGAAGTCGAGTGTGGTAGTGCCGTGTAGAGTAGTAAAATCGAAGTGGAGCGCAGTAGCATAGAATAGGAAAGTAGAAGCCTTTAGTACAGAGTAGAGTAGCATAGGGGTGGGTCTTTCCCACGCCATACAATTTGCACATGCCGTCACCAAAAAGGCACGCCCCCACCCAAAAACAGTACACTACCACACTCGACTTCGACCGGTAGGTACCGTGCCAAGAAACCACATGTAGGTACCGGCCCTCTCCAACAGGCAAATAATCCGGGCCGTCGGGCCCAAGGTACCGGGCCAACGGCATGGATTGATGCTCGATCTTAAGATCTTAAAACCGCATCTATACAGGCTGTCGGTCTCGTAGGACCCGATGGCCCAGATGGTAGATTTGTTACATGGTGAGGTCGATCTGGACCGTAGGCCGGTAGGACCAATGACGGCCCGGATTTCAGATTTGCCACGTTAGCGATTTTAGTAGTGTAGGGATGTCGTGTGGCAGGTTCGTGTACATAGTTGTAAACTCCGCTGTATGTGGTGTACAGCCTCAAACGGATTGTGCATTCTGTTTCAGATCCAGAATGACTTCCTCAGCACTTTGAACAATCCAGCAACGTCGTACACCACTTTCATGATAAAGCTCATTATCCTTACTGCACAGGGACTTGATCACACCTTGAAGGGCGTAGCTAAGTAAGCAGGAGGCCATTGTTGTACTTGCAAAAGGCTTATGAGGTTTTTTTTTGTGCAGGTCCGTAACTGAAGGTTGGTGAGGTGTTGTGCAAGGTGCAGATCGGGAAAGGTTGTTTCGCTGTGTAACTCCAAGAATCGGACGAAGGGCAGGTGGAGATTTGTGTGCTTTGAGTGCAAAGTAGAGATAGGGCAGGGTGTCAGTATGTTGTGTACCAGCGCTTGCGGCAGATTGCCATGTTGTGTGATGTTTTATCGACAGATACAATAGCGAATTGGTGCTGTAGCTGCCCAAGAAATGGGTTGGCAGCACACGAGGCAGTTTGAGTAGGTGCTTGGTGCGGTGACGCAGTAATATTCCGTGAGAATCTTGAAAGAACTGTTGTGCGCCATCTGCGCAGCTGAGAGAGACTGTCAGCAATCAGAGACTCATTATTGCATGCTGATCTCATGGTTGCTATAAATTTGGCATATACTCGTCCAGACCGAGTGTGCATGTGTATTTCCGAGCGCACACACACAGACACACACACACACATTCATTCATGCACACATGATCTTTTCTTTTTTTTCTTTTTTCTTTTTTTTAAACGCCTTGTGCCCCCTGATGCCGTCCGATCCGCATAGGACAACAGGGGGCGCAAGTTAAATTGCCCCCCGTCCTCTGCCACGTGGAGTGTTCGAATATAATTGAACGCGTGCGTTTGAATGTGAATGCGCGATCGGCGCGTTCACACGGGCACATAGACATTCTTAAGTTGCCTGAAGCCATGTACAGGGCTGAGCCACTCAATATTCTAAAGTCTCATTGGTAGTATGCCTTGAGCAAGTTGCCTGGAGTGTAGCATTAAATAATGCTAGAGGAAGCTATTTATAATGGGGGGAAAATATTGATTGGAAGGGTCATCAACCACTGGACTCCCCTACAAGGATTGCCATCATGATTAGTTCCATACGATAACTCTTCTAATATGCATGTTCTACAGTTCCCTAGAAAGAATTCACCACTTACATGCATTACTTCTCTTTGCAGAGCCCAATCACCCGTGGGATTCAGTAGCCTCTCAAGACTTAGCAGTGGCTCTGGGTAGCTCATAATAGGATTCACAGCAAACCTGTAAAAGACACGATTTAGAAAATGACAACAATCAGAAAGAACTGTGGAAAAGATACGGAAAACAGAAGTGGGCGTCAACTGCATCACTCGACACTACTTTTGAAGGACCTTCCAATTACTGGTACACCTGCCTTAAGTCTCGTAGTAGCAGCATTCTTGTGGACTCGAGACATACATAAAGCTTACGAAGCACGTACTCTCAGTTTTGTGTCCCTTTGCAAGCTTTATTTCGAGGGTCCATTGCCAAATTCATTTACACATTGCACTCCATAGGGCAGAATGAATATCTTCGTAAAGCTCATACTGCTGAAGGACTCGTGGGGCGAAGGTCTCACAAAAAATAATAATCTCTCTCTCTCTCTCTCTCTCTCTCTCCCCCCC